ATGAATGTTACTTTTAAAAGATAAAAGAGAGACTGCTTCTTTTTCCCTTTCCACTCTACATCGATGCATCTATTAGTAGCAAACCCTTACATTTGATTCTTGCCGAGTCTGAATGTGCCTGGATTCGCTTTCTGCCTGATAAGCAATGCCAAGCTTTTCCTGGCTATGTGTGGGCACACGTCTGCAAGTAAAACAAAGGCAGAGGAAGAAATAGAGGGAAAGACAAAGATAGGCAGCGGGTTTGAGCTAGGGATCAAATGGCAAAAATATTTACAGAGAGGAGTGAGCGATAAAGGATGTCACAGGGAAGGGGAAAAAAGTGGGAGAAAGTGTTGTGGGAACCAATTATGGATGGTGTGCTTCTACCTGCTCTAACAACATTTAAATGTGCTGTGTCTTTGAATAACTTTTACAGAAGCATTCTCCTTCTTCACACCCTGTTTAAAGTTCCTTTCTTGAAAGAAATAAAAAAAAGGAACAAATATAACACTTGGTGCACATAGTTTTAATGACCCAAGATCCCTTCTAGCTATACAAAACAAATGACAGGCAGGCTAATATTACTTAGCCACAAATTGACACAGTTTTTTTTTCAAAGCCATAATTAATTTCTCTGCTAATGACGCATCATTGCAACAAGCACATTTTGAGTTATTCATTAACCTAGAAATGCTGTTTTATGACAGAACATCACACACGGGGGGTCTTCGCAGAGCCAGCGTCAGGAAACGGGGCACACGAAAACAATTTAATATGAGCACACCAGACGAATGAAAAGGATGGAAACCTCAGGTGGAATGACAAGACCGTCTCGCTCCCTCCGACATCTGTTCCTGTGAAAGGAAAGCAGGGACGCCACTAACACTTTACCCCAGATACCACAGTCCCCCCTGGCAAACAGCATCTGTCTAATGAGGGTGTGCGGTAGCTCCTGTGAAGCCAGACATAACAGCGCTTTGATAGTATGAGCTTTCTTCAAGAACCCGCTGCGTAATGAGTGTAAAAGCTCGTATGATAAAAATGAAAGGCACTGGATGAGGAGCTGTCCAATAATCCCAGTCTACTAATATGCATCAGGATGCATCATGTCTTGTAAAATTTATAGCAGTGTGAGAGAGAACATCTTCACTGCATGCTTCCTGTCAGCATTCCTTGACTCCCACCCATGTGCAAGGCCCCAATGGGCAACCAATGAATGGGATACTGTTAGGGTTTCATTATGTGGTTTACAATATGTGTGTGATTGACAGCTGAAGTCAAAATGTGGTCTTAGTCCTGTAGGAAAAAACCCCAATATTGTACAATTGTAAAATAAGTATATCACAGGGGAAACTCCTGCCCTCTAAAGCGGGCAGAAAAGCCCATGGGCCGACCCAAACTTCACTCTAATCAAATACAAGAGAAGGTAATGCTGCCCAGAAGCATTAGACCCCTTACAGCCGACTTTCTACACAGCACCCAATTTTCAGAGGTTCAAAAGTAACTGGACAAAGTAACATAAGTTTGAATAAAGATTTTTAATACTTGGATGAAAATCCACACGGCTTTTCCACAGAATCATGTCTCGTGTTTCAAAGCTCTGTAATGAAGAATTTGTTATTGCTACATTTATGTGATTTATGCTTTTGTTCAGTGTAACTCAACACTGTAACCTTTGGAGCTTTAATACCTATTGTAAAGAAATGTTTATCTTTAAGTTCTTAATTATTAAGAATATATCAATTATATCAATATATCAATATATCAATTTAGAATTACAAATTGCTTTAATGTTAGAGAAATCGTTGCCATATGGATATGTTTCTTCACCTGTCGAAGACAAAGGGTAGGTCTCACGGCTGAATACATGGGACTTGCTCTGCAAAGCCTACACTCCTGAGACTCCTGTGCAATAAATTGTGAATGAGATGTTTCTAAGGTTTTCTACCAAAAAGCATCTCCCTACTGGGAATATCAAGGTCACCTTACAACTGATTGAAACTTTTTTTTAAATAGATAAAATGTTTAAACATTGAGCTTATACTTAATAAAATGTTGCACAATGCATGCTTAAAACCCAGCGACAAATTACAGTGTTTACTGGTATGTTGGTTGAAAACAACATGAATGCCAAGATAAAGAGACTGCTGTCAACCACCATGCTTTTGGAGGGAAAACAAAACTCATGCATATCAGATGTACAAAGCACGTACAGTATATCAGATGTGCATGTACCATAGCTTGTAATGCACTCATTATGAATAATTACAGAGCTAAACCTTTCAGAGGTCAAGACCACTGGCCAATTACATCATTTGAGGGCGCATAACTAATCTGGTCTTTCGCAGTGACCCAGGTCAACTGATGGAACTCGGCACACATAAATCATGCATAAAGCAGGTACATGGCCATATAACCCTGGGTAAAATTGCTTTGTTGAAAGCAGCAGCAGCAGCAGCAGCAGCAGCAGATGAAAGAGGGCTCAGGTGGACATGGTGAAATACCTGGGCAGGATTCAAATGTGACAGGGAGATATATGATGGGACTCATCACAAGCGAGCCTGTCATTGGAGGAAGAGGTTGTGAGATGCATGGCCTTTAAGTTCTCACGTGTCACCTGCTCTTCACATGAATAAAGAATGCAATAGGGGGAGGGTCCCAGGTGGAACTCCAAGGATGCTCAGAAGATATTAGGGATGTAACACACTGCAAGGACAGCGAGACCTGGTGGGTGGTAATGATTCCAGAACAGTGTGAAAACCAGAGCAGAGAAAGCAAAGAAAAGTGTGAGATTTGTCTCGTTAATTAGTCATGTAATTGTTTTGCAGACTGGTGGGATGAATGGAGGGGTTGATGATCACTACCTGGAGATTTACAGTCAAAGACTAGAGAAATTGATAGAGGATGGCAGGATGGGTGACACATGATAAAGTACTGGGTGAAATCTGAAAAAGACTTCAGAATTAAGTAGCATAAGGCACCAAGTTGCACCAATTTAACCTTTATATTTTGCTAAGCTTTGCCCAGCAACATGAAAATAAATAAAAAGTGCAAAAGGCTTGTTAAATTGTTCATTTCTTTTTACATTTTCCCTTCTTGTGGATTTAACTTTTTTAAGATTTAAGATTTAAAATTTTCCTTGTGATTTCTTTTTGAACTGTGCCTCTTTGAAATACCTCAAAATGATGGTTAAGTGGTTTAATAATAAAAAAAGTCTTCTTTTGGATTGTCTGTGTCGGTTCTCCGTCATCCAGCTCACTGTAGACTTCAGAGCTTGAAATAAAGAAGGCAACTGAACTTCTTTAGGTTAGTGAAGATGTTTCACTTCTCAAAGTTTCTTCATATCTAAAAACAACAGGTGGACAGTCCCAGGTATTTAACACATCAGCCTCCAAAGGGTTATCCCCTTTTTGGAGGTTGTCCTGAGGGTCACTGATCTAATATTAATCATGTAAGTCATCACATGAGCCAAGATGTGAAAAAAGGCGTGGGTCATTTGCATGTTTGGCTTCTCTGCTTTGCTAACTGCAGGCTTATAAAGCCAATAGACAAGTGTATTACACAAATCATTTTTACTTGCCAGCAGTGGTGACTCTACATGCAAAACAAACTAGCAAACCAAAAAACCTATGCTTGTATACACATCTATGAGAAAACAGCTTTCACGATCCTTGCTCTATGACTTTAGCAAATGCTTTGCTGATATTTTTACGGCCTTAGTTGCTTGTTTGAAGTTGTGTTGAATACAACATGAATTTCATATTTGAACGTACGATAATGGAGGTTAACCAGGTGTGTCCCTTTGTTTCACTATCAGATGTGCTCCATGTTCCTGACTTCTGGTTCACAATGACACTTTCCCATTAACTTCCTGAATAGACTTCCTGTTCTATCTAAGTGGTTAAAAATATAGGGTTTTTTTTTCAGTGCATGCCAATATCGAGTAAATATAGAGCAGAACAAGTCTGCCTTGTTTCATGTGTAGGTGCTGTCCATGGTACTGATTCAGTTGTCTCGGTGTTACTGTATTAAGACCTTGGACTGTTTGTGTTTAACAGTGAGGTGAGTGGTGTTAGTGACATCCATTAGAAGAATACACGCTATAAAAAACAACATTTTTTTGTAGTGTTTAAACATAAAAATGTAATTATTCAAAATGAATCCACTGTTGAGTTAAAAGTACCCCCTATACAACTACCAAAACAATTGAATAAATACATGAATGTATCATGTTGTCTAGTTAGAGATCAGTCTCCCTGGAGGTGGAAGCCAATGATACAGCCACAGATGGAAGGGATTCACCGTCCTGCTTTTGCTTCAGCTGAATGGCTGTTTGCCAACAGAGGGGCTTAACCCTCTAACGCTTTGATGGTGGTCTTTTTCCTACTGCTATGGCACGCTGCTCTACCAAACACTGGCCGAAGTTCAACAGTAATGGCGCACATGTGGGCTAAAATCGGATCAGTTGCTGCCTGACTGACCACCCCTCACTCCCCTTGGGGTGTTGTGGATGGAAGTGCTCCTGGGACACCCACGCTAAGCAAAGAGTTGCAGCCTGCGGGGTGGTTTTCCAGCTCCATCCATCAGAGGCCAACACCTTGGGACAACCTCCTCCATCTTCACTTGCAGCCTGCCAGCCTTCCATCCTAAATTCCGACAAGAGCTCATTTCCTTTGCCAGAAGCTGATTAGAAATAGTAACGGCTGCACATGCTGCTGAAGCACACACTGACACTGTTATTGTCGCACGATTTCCTCAAAGTGCCACAACAGAAATAGAACTATATCTGAAATTGTGCATACAGTGTGCCAGTTCCATTTTTGGGCTATGATCTTTTTTCAACGATCTATAAATGCCTGGAGTTAATCTTGTGTCACGTCATAGCAAAAAAGCAAAACAAACAAACAAAAACCCCCACAAAGCATTCAGTGTTTTAGTTGAGCCATACAATATCGCCTCCCCTTCATACACTACATGAAGGGCAACGCACAGCCGACAGCATCACGACAGGTCTTCTGGGATTCATCTTGGGCATCTTTGGAGACTCCAAATCAGCTGCGAGTTCTTGGCGTGCGTCATTGCGCAGCAGCGCGTCCAGCCCATAGTTGGGAATCCGCTGACAGAGCACTACCAGTTGTTTGTGCGGGCATATGTACGCGCGGATCAGCAGGTGTTGTCTTTAAAAAAAAAAGAAAAGAAAAGAAAGAAATCTGGATGGAAGTCGCTGTTACAGCAACGCCAGTCTGAGGGGAAACTCGACCATTGCGGACCCTTATTCCCAGGATGCGCGGACATGCGTGAAATGCTCGCGGCCATCGGCAGGTGCAGGTAAAGTTCGAGCTGAACAATTTTTGTGTTTCTTTTCCTTAAAATGTTGTGGTTTAAAAAAAAGAAAAATCTTTGTCTCGCCTGCATTTCTGGTGACGTCTCTTGTTTCGTTCCGTGCGTTTTTCCCCCTCACCAGCGCACCTCTGAATGGAGCGCGCCGAATAAAAGGCAGGCTGAGCACCAAAGTATGCTGACGATTTAAACTTTGATGTGCCGAGCGACCTCTTTACGCTCAGATGATATCTTAAACTATAAAGAAATTTCATCGATTCCACGCTTATCTCCAACAATGTTAGTTAACAGCCAAAAATATGGGCTGCCTGTGTATTTGTGTGTTAGTGTGTGTGTGCGCGCGTCTATATTCGTGCGCCTCTGGGCGTGTGTGCGTCTCCTTCCTAAATTCTGGCGCTTTAAATTAATTCCGTCTGTATGCGCTCCTGGTGCACCAGTGCGCAAAGGATTCTCTTCCTTGATGTGGATGAGGGTTGAGAGGTTAACAAGTTTTTGTTTAACCACACGAACCTCTTAATCGTTCATTGATTTTTTTTGTTTGTTTATTTACCCCCCTCCCCCCTTTAATTGTGTTCTGTTTTTTATTAATAGAACAAACTGTAATCAAGCTCAACAGCCAAATGAGTTGAAGTTATCACAGTGACAAGAAGGTGAAGGGCCAGAAACATGAATGAATAACAGACACCTCAGGTAATGTAGCTGTGTCCTTAAATAAAGAGAGAGATGCTGGTAAATAGAAATGGTAAGAATTTATCAGCCACAGTGTACATCCATATCCCGGACGCACATTAGACACATCTTATCGAAAGGGGTGTCTAATTTGGCCAGTCCTTAGCCAACAGCCTTCTGTTAGACAGAAACACTTAAGCTGTCAAGTCAAAAAAAAAAATAAAAAGAAAAAAGCTTCCAGCAATGATATGATTCCACTGCGATAAAAACTGTAATTAAAATCATGCTAATGCTCCATGAAGCCTTATGGTGAGTTTCCTCGAGTCCGCCTCTTAATTTCTCAAACTATATTTACCACAGTGATAATGCCTGTAATCAGAGGAACAAGCACAGATTGTACGGCACACTTAATTGGTATTTTTATTTATTTATTTTATTTTCTTTGTCTATAAACTGCCAGCTGCCTTTTAGATTCAGCACTCACGTTGAAGGCCGGCCATCACAGCAAGGCAGGGAAGGGAATGAGAGAGGAATGAGATTTACATAAACAGACTTGTGTAGAGATAATGGAAAGGCTCTCTGTTATCAACAAAACTCCAGAGCAGTGAAGTGGTATTTTCATTCCCTCTCAGATGGACAACTTGGATGATTTTTTTTTAAACTGCAGTCTCAAAACAGCAGTTTGAAGTGCTGGAGCTGATGTGCCTTATTGAGCATGTGACAGCAGGGTTTTTGTTTTCAGTTCTCTTTCTCTGTATTGATTTCCCCCGGCCTCTAGTTTTTTCTTTTACCTGATTATTGACTTCTTTCTGTGCTCTAGCAAGCTAAATGAGAGCATTACTGCAACTGGCGTGCTGTGATTCATCTCAATCATTTGGAGTACATCTCTCATACCAGGTGCAGACCCGATGATCCCATTTTTTCTTTTTTCCTCCTTTTTTTGGCACTGAATTCAAAGCAACACTTTAGATTTTCCAGGTTCGTTTGCACCGCAGCTGTGCCACTCTCTGGTTCTCGTCTTATGGGAGTTTGCTTTGTGTCATCGTGTGTCATAAGTAATGTCATTAGTACTACAATAGACTTTCATGGCGTGCGTCACTCTGGTATTCTTGTGCTGTCACATTGTCTCGATGAGTCGTCAGATCAGTTGGTTTCTTTCCTTCAGGGTTTTCTTTGTCTACACTTGATAGAAACAGAACTAAACACCAGAGGTGGGGTCTGGGTAGAGCAGAAGCTCTCCAGCACGCAGCACGTTTCAGTGGACTGTGACAGAGTCCAGCTCATTATTACTTGTCGGCATATCTTAGATTTAATCCATTGCTCTCTGTGCTCAACGTCAGCCGAAGGTTGTCTGCAGGTACCTGCATTCTGAAATCTATTCTTTAAAACAGCTCATCCTTCAAATGAACTTTTAAACACTTATCTCAGGTGCCTGCTGTAAAAGAAGCACAAAAGACACGAGTTGATAGAGGATGTAGAATATACAATTTACTAAACACAACTGAGAGTCTTAAGTCTGATTTTAACTTTGATATTTTTTTTTTGTTTTTTAAAAAACAGCTCATACATTCTACCATCAGCATTAGGGATTATATTACCTACAGATGTACTTGATACAGTGTGGACAGTGGCTCTGTTTTAAATTGTGTACTCACATACTTACAGCTCCTATTATGAGTGCATAAGTGCAGCCGCTCTATCAAGTACGACTACATGAAGTGCCTTAGGAGTACCAGGATGGTGTACTCACAATGGTAAAGAAATGAAGTGTGAAACACGCCCTCAGTGTTTGCTATATTGGTTATGTAGTGGAAAGGGAGGGGCCACCAACCAGTTTTTAGCCAGTGGAAGCAGTACGTGATTACTCGCTAGGTAGCTAATAGCTAGCACTGACATGTTTTTCAGGATTTGCAGACTAAAATCACACGTTCTGGTGTTTTCTATGTGTTAAATTGTCACTTTTTCTATTGATGGATTTACTATGTGCATTAGAGGCACCAGTGTCATCCATCCTCTCTCTGCTGCTTATCTGCTCAGTGCAGAATTCACAGATACTCTGCAGTAAGTGCTCACCTCACCACTATGATTAATCAGGCGGTGAAATTCATATGCAGTGTACTAATGAAAGTATGTACATATATGTATGGTCTTTGTGTACTAGTATATTGTGCTGAAAGTGGATGGTGTTCTTTTGAAAAACATCTTATTTAATTTTGTTTGTTTTAATTTTGTGAATGCAGGCAGAGGCGTTTGAAAGCTCTTCTTCTTTTCATCAGAAGAAAACATTTTGTATTTAATTTTATCTCAAAAGTTTAGTTCTGGGAAGGAAGTTTTATGAGTTTTTATAGTTAGATTTCAGTATTTCCAAATCAGTTCATATAGGTTTTTTTCATATAGCTTCATTTCTGGTTCTCTTTCCAAAAACACTTTTAGCAATACACACTCACCTCACATTTTATTAGGTACCCCTTGCTAGTGCTGGCTCGGACCCTCGTTAACCTTCAGTCACTAGTTGCTGGAGATTTGTTGGCTGCACATCCATGACATGACTCCCCCATCCCACCATGTCCCAAAGGTGCTCTATTGCATTGCATCTAGCAAATTTGGAGGTGATTTTAGGGCAGCGAACTCACTGTCATGTTCGAGAAACCAGTTTGAGATGATTTGAGCTTTGATATATGTGATACTCAGGTAGGCTGTGTCATATCAACAATGCTCAGCTGGACGTAAGGGCTTTAAAGTGTGCTAAGAAAATATCCCCCACACCATAACACCACCAGTAGCATATCAGAGCAGGCATTAGCAGCATTTTAGCTGTCCTTAGCTGACAGGAGTTGCACCTGGTGTGGTCTTCTGCTGCTTCAAAGTTTGATACAGTATGTTCTGCATTCAGAGAAGCTTTTCTGATTGTTGTTATTAAGTTACTTTTGCCTTCCTATGAACTTAAAGCAATCTGACCATTCTTCTGTGACCTCTGACATCAGCAAGGCTTTTTTGCTCATAAAACTGCCACACACGAGATATTTTCTCTTTTTCAGACCGTTCTCTGTACAACCTGGATCAGCATGTCTACTTGTTAAATGCACTGAGTTGATTCCATGTGATTAGTTGATCAGCTATTTGCATCAGTTGGATGGGTGTACATAATAAAGTAGTTGTTGAACGTATATTGAACAGCACTTTGTATTTTTTGAGTGTATAGCATGTTTTTGGTGAAGACCTCTATCATTAACGGTTGGATATCTCTCCACTTGTTCTGTTTATGGACTAAAGATGGTGTTACTCAGTCACTGGCTGGAAACCAAACTTAGCCTAACTGTTTATGAATACCTAATTGCTTATGCCCATGTATACGATTGGTGTACTACATTTTGGTTTCGTACTTATTCAAATATTCTTTTTCATTTTTTTAAATGATGATCATACAAGTTTAAACCACACATTATTTATCACGTTTTTGTTCAACATCAACTTCCATTTTTAATGACTTCATCGTCTCTTCCCACTCTTCCTCATCATCCACACCTCTGTCATCACTGCTGTATTTGCAAGCCTGCACATTTCTCTCCATAGTGTGTGTTTAAGCAGCAATGTTGCTAGCTCAGCCTAATAATAATGCAGATTTAAGGACACAAGAGACCTCTACTGTATGATGAGAAGTAGAAGTCAAAACTTCTAAACCTGCAGATGAAAGGGGGGAGGAGAAGCTTCCACCCGGATAAAGTCCAAAGTCCCTAATGTTTCTCTGCGACATTGCCTTTCTGCATTTGAAATAGACAGAGGAGAAAATGAGACTGAGGGAATATCTTTAAGGAGGTCAGAAGTCCCTTTTTATGTAATGAAAGATGTTAGTTAAATTGTGGTAGGCACCTTAAATAACCTACAGTGACAACATCACTAAGACACTTTGATGAGAGATGAAACTGTTCCACCACACAGTGAAATGTTTTATCACTCTGCTCCATCACTCAGACATTAGCGATTCTTTTAGAGCTATTTTTGTTTTAATGTACTTGTGGAATCTGATTTTAAAAAGTGAGGCTCTGAAAAACATGGAGCTGGAGTCTGTGTGAGGACAGCACACTCTTTATTAGACTTTTGTTTCTAGAGTCGTAACGTAAGAGCTTGACGTGCCCAGCACATTGGATTCATGTTGGAGCAGTTTTACATACATTTGACTTTAAATGTTCTCTTTTTTGCACCTAATCTTATGTATCATCTTGAAAGCTGTTGTTGTAGAGATAAAGCAGAAGTCTTTGATCTCTAGGGTACTGCCTATTGGCAACTTAAGGTGCTCTTAAGCTGCCAAATTCATGAAG